AGAGAAAAAAACTTTTGAAGTGATAATCTTGATTATCACTTCAAAAGTTTTTTTCTCTTAATTAATTGGCCTCTCAGAGGTGGTAAGACAACTCCCACCTGTTTATGCTCTCTGTATGTGTGTATATATATCTCCTCAATATATGTTCCATTCTATATGCATCCGAAGAAGTGGGCTATAGTCCACGAAAGCTTATGCTCTAATAAATTTGTTAGTCTCTAAGGTGCCACAAGTCCTCCTGTTCTTCTTTTTGCGGATACAGACTAACACGGCTGCTACTCTGAGACTTCTACATTCACTTTAGTTTCTTACTGTGGGTGCAATTAAAACAGCCTTAGTACTCTCTCAAAAGGGAAGGATGGTCTCATAAATTGCAGCAAAACCAAACATCAATATATTGCACTTCTGCCTTGGAGCATGTTTTGGGTGAAAAACAATTCTGTTGAAACTATCATACTAATTTTCTTCAGTGATGAAAATATTCCAGCATGCTTTTTTAAAGATGTACAAACACTGTGTTGTCATTGCTAATTTTCCCAATATTTGGGCCTGATTCTGATCCCTCACTGGTTTATATCTGGAGTAACTACTGAAGTCAATGGAGTTACACCAGCATAAAACAACTGCCTTCAATTCTAGTATGATTCAATTTGCTAACAATTTGTGAAGAATCTCTGGAACAGCTGAGAGTGGCAAAGATATTTCCTTTGTGGTGAAGTTACCCACTTCCTTCTTTAAATGTACAAAAGTTCCTGTTGCCAAATCCCTCTGCTTATCGATTCAATGTGGAGCGATTGCGTGGGCTAGAGCTATTGTGTAATGAATAAAAAGGCTGTTTATTGTTTTCCTCAAGTCGTATCATGTTGTCCATTTTTAAAACAAGTCCCAATTGAAGCCAATGAGGAGTTCAGCTTAGAAACAACTGGCAAAGTAAGTCCCTTTGATATTATTCTTCCCTAGATACATTTACAAAAACCTCTAGGATTCTCCTCTTACTTCACCAATGTAACACCACTGACTTCAGCAGAATTTTTCAATTTTCAACAGTATATGGGTGAGGAAAATCAGAAGCTCTGGGCCAAATCCTTAGCTGAATTGGCAACATTTTACTGGACTTAAATGGAGCTACAACAATTTACACCGAGGATTTAGCTCATTATCTGTAAAGAAAATGATTAACAACAAAGTTGTCATTTTATGTTACAACAATGTATTGAACATTTAAATTAAAATGAGCTTTTAGTCAAAGCAAACTAAGGCCACTTTATTCCTGAATGAAGAAATCCACATGGGGGTTTCTGCACGTTGATTTCACACCTTTAGTTGATCTGCCTTAATCTTCCTGTGTCCCCTTATAGACCCGGCCCCTATTTTGTAACTAAAAAGATATTTTCATAAAAGCAGGAAGGAGCCTGCCTGATTCTGCTCTCACTTATATACTGGGTCTACACCAGCATAAGTCCAATGATTTCAATGGAGTTATTGTTGATTTACATTGGTATAAGAGCAGAATCGGGCCAAGGGTCTTTGTTTCTTAAGAGTCTGTGTTCCTGTTCCTTATTCCTGACATGAGAGCAGCTGACTATAGAAATGATTATAGTCATTGGGTGAGCGTGAGACAGAGAATGACTCTATATCCACGTGGTTAGAGCATCTCATTGAGGATCTACCCCAAAGGGTGTGCACTCTCTTTGGTGCAGAGTGGGAATTCCACCTATTTTCAAAGCATATCATAATAGCAGAAAGACCCTGCAAAGCAACATTTGTATAATATAGGTGAATGTACCTCCAAAACTATGACAAAAGGCAGAGGAAAAGCATTTACAATAAAGGAGGCAAGGAAAGATATTTTAGGTATGATTATATTTCACTGTATTATCTAAAGTCTGTAGTGTTTGTTATTTTATTTGAGTACATATATATGCAACACCATATAAACATGTGTTCACTACAGGGTTAATTGCCAGTCCAGTGTCTGGATTCTGTTCTATTCCAACTTTGCATAACCTTCCAAATCAATATAATCAATACAGTAAACAATAAACAATTACCTTTCCTAATCTATACACGTAATTTACAGAGTGGAAGTAAAACAGTATGCTAGCAAATCTACCATAAGTCACTTATCTGAAAAGTAAAATAAGAATTAAAAATCACTACTGTTACATGCATAAGTGAAGCAAATGAGGGCTGCTAAGTGCTCAGATTTTTCATGCATCCACTGCTAGGCTGCAAAGGTTTGACCATTTCAGAAAGTGAGAGTTACAAATAGATGAGGTAAGATTTTGTATCTTATTGAAACATGCTGCAAATATTCCTTTTTGCACTAGTTACAAATTGTTTTAGGACTGAGGTCCTTTACAAAGTGATACT